TGGTGTGGGAGCATCCCTGAGCCCCTGCCCTGGTGTGGGAGCATCCCTGAGCCCCTGCCTTGGTGTGGGAGCATCCCTGAGCCCCCTGCCCAGGTGGTGGGAGGGTCCCTGAACCCATCATGGTGTGGGGGCGTCCCTGAGCTGCATACCCCGGTGTCGGCATCATGCTGGGTCAGCCCTTCCCTCTTGGTGGCACAACCTTGGCAACAGGAGATCTAGGTCCAGGATGGCCCCTCCCCCACCTGGGCAAACAGGTGCTGAGCTGGGGGTTGGTGATTCGGGGGTCACACCCATGCCCACTTGCAGTGGATGGAGTCCACCAGCTTCCTGGACCTGAGCCACAGGGTCCATGAGCTCCAGATGCAGTCTGCACCCCAGCCACTGGGCCAGAGGCTGAGGGTACTTCTCACTGGAATTGGGGTCCTGAGTGTAAAAGGGGGTGCAGACACTGGCCGTGGAAGTGCAAGGACGGCACCCTGGGCTGGGCTGTTTCCAGAACCATAGGGGCACGTAACCAACACCCTGGATGTCTGTGAACGGCGCGCAGGGCCCCTTGACCACCAGGCTGGCCCAGGAGAGTAGGGAGGGGTTGAGGGGCCCGAGGCTGCACTGGAATTTTGGTGTGGACGGTCATTTCCATCACACTGATTTTAACTACAATATTTACAGTGCAGCAACTTCCAAACGTCCAAGGGCTGGGAAAATTAAAGCTACTTTAGGTACACTCTTATCTTTTCTGATCTGTAAGGAAAAACAGTAAATATGTCTGCTGCAAAATCGATGAAGTAATTATTCTGTAATGAATTCTCAACTCTGGGAATTAAGCTGACATGTGGTCCCAGCCCTCAGACTTATCCAGCCTCAGGAGGCCTCTCGAGGGCTGCACCGGCGGGCGGGGTAAGGTGCTTGTGGGGTCAGATCATCTTCCTCTCCCACTGAGAGCAGGGCAGTGGGTTCGGGGAGTCCCCACGGGCCCCAGCCAGGACCCCGTCCCTCCTGCCCCGACCCCTCAGCCCCCGAGGCCACACCGCCACGTGAAAGGCGGCCAGTCTGTGGGACCCTGTCCCCAGCGACAGCGCTCCCTCCCTCTGCTGAGCCCCGGCCCCAGGGAGACAGCATTCTCCGTGTCCCCAGAACACACCTGTGTCCCCACCTCTGCACCCCGTCTCCAGCCCACGGCTCCCCCCTGCACTTGTCACAGCCCTCCCCCCCCACTAGTAAGACACAGTGCAGCCCCCCGTTCCTGTGATGTCACCCGGAATGTCTCACACAATTCCCATCGGCACATGCTGACAGGTGACAGGCGTGAAGCCCCTGGGCAGGTGCCAGCCGAGCTTTCTCTAGAGGGTAGCTCCACAAGACAGGACCACCATGTGCACGCATGTGTGCCTGCGTGTGTGCACACGCGTGTCCATGTCCGTGTGTGTGTGTTGGCTGGAGTGAATGTGTGTGCACGTGTACATGTGTTCATGTGCTGGTGTGTGTGTGAACTGTGAACGTGTCCATCTGGTGATGTGTGCGTGTGAACTGTGAACATGTGTGCATCTGGTGATGTGCATGTGTGTGAACATGTGTGCATCTGGTGATGTGCGTGTGTGAACTGTGAACATGTGTGCATCTGGTGATGTGCGCGTGTGTGAACTGTGAACATGGGTGCATCTGGTGATGTGCGTGTGTGAACTGTGAACATGGGTGCATCTGGTGATGTGTGTGTGTGAGCTGTGAACATGTGTGCATCTGGTGATGTGTGTGTGCATGCACGTGTGTGCATGTGTGTTCACGTATGTGTGCACATGCATGTGTGCACGTGTGTGTGTGTGACCTCACCACTGAGCACCCATCCATTTGTCTAGCCAGCATTTATTGAAATTCACCGCACCCTCATGGCGCCCGCCCAGGCTCTGTGAAGGAACACAGCCTCAAAAGCCCCTGCTCTCTCAGCTCTCATTCTCCTGGGACGACAGACAATAACATAACGTAAGGAGTTTTCTTAGAACACGAGAAGCTGGTAAATCTTTGGGGGACACCGAACAAGAAACAGGTTGCAAGGCCGCGAGGCTGCGGGCTGTCCCATGTGCAGCAGCGCCTTGCCGAGATGGGGACACCTGGGCAGGAGTACCGAGGAGGGCGCTTACTGCGTGGGCTGTGGGGGCTCTTCAGGTGGGGGACAGCGGGGTGGGGGTCACAGGCAGATGGGGGGGAGTGGGGCACAGAGGAGGGGAGGTCACGCAGCGCTGAGAGGCCCCATCTGTGAAGCCTCCAGCGAGCAATTCTGTGAGTCTCAGCGTTTGAGTTGCCACCCACCAGGTGCTGTGGAGTCTTACGCCGCCTCCTGGCGACCCAGTGTGTGTCAGAGTAGAACTGTGCTCATAAGGTTTTCAATGGCTGGTTTTTTGGAAGTAGATCACCAGGCCTTTTTTCCGAGTTGCCTCAGGGTGGACTTGATCAGCTAGCAACTGAGCATGTTAACCATTTAACCTTCTAGAGGCAACAGATAAGCGAAGAGAGGACGTTTCAGCAGCAGGAAGGAAAGAAAGCCGTGTGCTGTGGTAGCGTGCAGGGAGGGAAGGCCTGTGGGTGGGGAGACAAGCCCCAAGCCCTGTGAGGTGGGGCGTCCTGGCTCTGGCCCTTCTCCAGGGCAGCTCCCGCATGACACTGCCCCACCCGGGCCGGCGCCGCCCTCCTGTGTCTCGCGTGTCCCATCCGCTCCTCGTCTCTAAGGGCCATATCAGGCCCCGGGGAGCAGGCTCTCGTGACTCCCAGAAGCGGCCACGGGCTGGAAGCCAGTGCCCTTGGCACAACGCTTGCCCTCCGGGCTGCAGAAACAGGGCAGGGCAGCGGGGCGGCGGGAAGGGGGCGGCGGGGCAGCGGGGTGGCGGGAAGCGGCAGTCTCAGCATCGTTGGGGGCCTTCTCTGGCGCGTTCTTACTCCACGTCTCCTGGTTTCTACCTTGTGGTTTTCTTGCTGCCGAGCAGCAAAGCGTGCAGGGACGAAGGAGGTGATGACCACTTCCTAAGGGCCTTCAGCGTTCAGCTTCCTGAGGGCTGGTGTGGCTTTTTTTAAAAAAAATCTGGATTTATTGATCATGATTGCAGACTCCCCAGAAAGAAGAGAGAACATTCCGTTTTTGCAAGTGGGATCCAGGATCCTGGGGGTGGTAGTGAGACCCCATGGAGCGCACCAATGATCGGGGGTGTAGGGGCGAGCCCCCCCTCCAGGAGTGAGCTGTCCCACCTGCAGGGTCCTACCCAGCGCAGGGACCGTGCCCTCGTGTCTGACGGGAAGCGGCCACTGCATGCTCACGAGGGTCCTCAGAGCCGCCCCTCGACCCGTCTCCCCAAGAGCGCCTCTTCAGGTGCTGTGTGTAACAAAAGACAAGGCGTCACTGTAAAAGCAGCAGTTTTGAACCTACGTCTCAGCGACTGCTCTTTTCAAATACGGTTTTCCCAGGGTGCCAAGATTGTGGCGGAATAATTCACAGTTCCGTTTCCGAAACAGGTGTTCATTGTTATCGCGTTAATTTTGTGAGGCGCTGGCGCAGGCCCCGAGATCTGAGGTGGGAGCGGCCGTCGGTTTCACAGCCGGTGGTGCCGGGACCTGGGGTTTCTGACAGGAAGCTCATTGTGGGGCACCCACCTGCTCCCGAGGGCGCCAGTACCCGTGCGACCCTTTTCACATCACCCGTGTGCTCGTCATTCATTCACTCACTCATTCATTCATCCATCCACTCAGTGACCCCTTACTCAGAGCCTGGGGTGGCCGGGCACTTCACTGTGGGGCTGACCTGCAAGTGGGACCTGGGTCTCCCCAGCAGGGCTGTGTCTGCCCCAGGCATAGTTGGAGGCTGGTCCTCATGACCCCTGCCCCCTACCCGCTGCCCACTGTGCCCCCCGCCCAGCATGCCCCCACCCACATGCCCCCC